TATGGCCCGTGTGGTATAGCCCGTGACTCAAGCACAGGTACACTTTACATAGCCGATACATACAATCATCGGATAATGCAATATCTTTTGAATGCTTCGTCGGGTACAGTAGTTGCTGGTGGAAATGGTCTAGGACCTGGTATTACACAATTGGCGTATCCATATGGTTTTGCTTTTGATTCCTCCTCAAATAGTCTTTTAATTGCTAATGCTCAAACCAACAATATTGTTCGTTGGGTGTTAGGTGCAAGTAGCTGGACACTCGTTATTGGTAGTCCTACTGGATCAAGTGGTAACACATCAACACTTCTCAATCAACCGATCGGCATCACATTAGATCCAATGGGCAATATCTATGTAGCTGATTCAGCAAATCATCGCATTCAATTCTTCTTTGCAGGCCAGTCCAATGGCACAACAATTGCTGGCGTTACAGGTTCACCTGGCATTAGCCAGCATAAATTAAATGCTCCCTGTTGGGTCATAGTTGATACTCAACTGAATTTATATGTATCCGATACTGCTAACAATCAGGTTCAATTTTTTTCACATTCATAAATATGAGTTTCATTCTTTATTACACATCCCTCTAAATTTAAAAAATATACTTTTTATTCTTTCGTTATTTCTTCATAACTTGAATACTTCATATGCGACATTTCTTTATCATTTCAAATCTTTTATTATAATCAAATAAATATATTTTAATGATGAATCTAATACAATCGTTCACTCTTTTTTCATATATCTTATTTTCTAACTCGATACTTGCTTTGCTCAGTCTTGAAGACAATGAAATAAGAGAAGCCTAAAATTTATTGACTTGTTTAATAGTCGGTAAGATGAATATTGAAGAATAATTCACAAATTTTCCAGAATTAGCATAAATATTCCATGGTAATTCACAATTTAATTGTACACTAATTGAAAAAAGTCGAGAAACTGTAAATTTTTTGTTGAGAAAATAAAAATATTCCCATGCTCAAATTCACCCACCATTCTTGCAAACTTCTATACAGAAACTAAGTAATAATTAAAGTGTTGAAGCAATGTAGATAATTTTACCCATGAATAAACATATTGATAGACAGCTTGTATTAAAAATGAATAATTAATTTATTTCCAAATAAAGGGAATTTTATATATTTAATTTATTTTTCTCAGTATAAATGTATTCGTCCTAAATGAATTCAACATTAACATTGTTGAAGCAACACCATATATGTTTTTTAATAAAATATAATATACATCCAGAAAAAAAGCAATCAAAATCAATGCTTATGTATATTCATGCAACTTTTTGAAGAAAAGAGAGAGAATAATATCAAGAAATCTGAAAAGTACATATTATTTACATTTTTTTCCAGTAAGTAAGTTTACTCAATAATAATCTTTGCTGTGAATCAAAAACAAATAGTCTTCTGTGTTTAAATATAATTTCTCATTAATAATCAGCTAATCAAGTCAGTGTTATTATTAATCATTCTTTTCAATTAATCATCGAATAGAAAAAAATAATCATAATAAGATGAAATGAAACAGAGTATGAATTTGTCTTTTCTTTATTCACACCCTCAACAGTATTAAGAATACTTCTTACTTGAAAACAATTCGTATTCATCTAGTTTTTTCGTTACTTCCTCAATGTTGATAACGTCATTGCTCTTAGTTATTTTGTCTTGATTGGTAATTGCGAATCAAACAGTAATGAGTCAGCTTAGAGAAAAACATACTGAAAAATGACAATTTATTTTTTTTTCATTTTGTTTTGTATACTTCACGCAATTTTTTTCGCATCATTGACTCTAAATGATGAAACCACGTATAAATGCGGTATCTGAAGTGCATAATTACACATGTAAAAAATATTAGACGACGTTTATTAATTGATTATTTATCAAAAAGAAATGTATTCAGATCGAAGACATCAACAACGTGAACTAATCGATCAAACCATGGCATCGTAAGTTCCGTCAAAGCAAACCATTATTTTTGTTTTTAATCATTTCATAAATATGTATAGAAATGAAAATGAAAATCTTCCAGAAAAATTAAATCATCTCAACTATGGAATTCAAGTAGAAGTTTCTTATTGAATTAATCCTTATTTCACCGGTATTTTTTTAGATCTCAGAAACAAATAGCAATGGTGATGTTGGAGAAAGTCAAGTCTGTTTCTTTTTATTTTATAATGATTCTATATGATAAATTTAGATAGAGGAATATTGTTTTGTTCGAATGAATTATCGAAATTCAATTTCAGTCAAACAGATTGATGAATTGAAAATAGTACAATATAATGAAATAATCTATAGAGGTTGTTTACAAGATGGAGGTGAGTTTTAAATTATAGATCTGTTCTCTCGATAAATTGATTATCAATAATTTCAGATTCATTTATATTTAAATCGAGACGAGATGCAAACAAATCAGCGTACAAATTATATATTTATCGTAATGATTTACTTGACAATGAGATGATCTCTTGTTGTGAATATGGTTTGATGCATTATAATCAATACAAATCATTTCAAATTGAACAAATTATTAAATCGAAACCATGCCAGAAGTAAGACGATGCATTTGAGAAGGATATATTCAATCTTTTTCTTTCTAGATGTCAATCAAAAGATGATACAGTATGAATATTTTTTTTATTTTATTTTGATCTTATTTTTTTTTATTCATTTAGTTTCCATCATTGAGCGAAGTATCAGAAAGTAAGAATTAATTGTAATTAAATATTTTTTAAAATAAAATTATTATTTTAGAAAAAGCCAATCGACAATCAACAAAGGTTATTCATTTGTTTTATATTTTTTGAAAAATCAGTGATTATTTTTGTCTTTCAGAGACAAAAATCGGTCTCTTTCTCGTCGAAGTCTCCAGAAATTCGTAAATATGATAATGATTCTTCGGAAAATAATCAAGAATTCTTTCCGTTTAAACCATTTGAAAATGAAACGATCTTCTACAATTCCATTAATGGAGATTCTTCATCGAAAAAAACGGATCGTAAGCGAAAATTTGATTAAAATTGTTTTTAAGAAATGAAATTTTTTTTTCTACAGAACCTCCTCAAATATCACCAATGTCATCGTACAATGAACATTCTTTTCCATCAACTCCAATATCGTCAGACACGACTAGTTACAATTTCTTCGGCTTATCCAATCAAGATAGAAACACACAAAGTTTGAAAAGAATAAACAATGATTTTTTTTCTAGATTCAATTTCAGGTAATAATCATCAACAATTTGAAAATGAAACTAATGAGAGTGTTTCTCTGCCGAACAATATTTTCGAAACTTTAGCGAATCAATTATACAATCTCATGTGTAAGGAATATTCGATCTTTTGAAAATAATTACGGACTTTGTTTCTTCTAGTTCAAGCTGGTGGAAATACAGAAACATCATCATCAGATACAATTCATCGAGAGAAAGGCAATGTTGAATGGTTTAATCTGATATATTTGCATACTTTACCTCCTGATCCATCGATCGTACAAAAGATTCGTCGTTTGATAAATATTGTCATGATTTTCAATGATACTGATGATTGTATTGCATGTATAAATAGTTTATCAAATCAAAGGATTGTTTTGATACTTTCCGATAACTTCTGTGATTCACTTCTTCCACAAATTAAAAATATTTTAAATATTCTCTCGATTTATATCTTATCGGCAAATCCAGATAAGAGTTTAACGTTTTCTTCGACTCAAATTCGAGGTGTTTATCAATCGATTGATGATATTTATGAAATGATATCTGATGATGTTAATCCAATTAAATCTGATCTACTGCTTATTCGACCAGTTTATGCAAGTGGAAGTACACTTGATACGGCATTTATTTTCTTTCATTTACTCTGTGATATTCTTCTTGATCGTAATGAAACTGAACATGCATTTCAAGAATTAGTTCATTTTGCTCGTCAAGAATACGAAGGAAATGAATATGAATTAGCACAAATTGAAGAATTTGAAAAGAGTTATAAAAAGACTCGAGCAATATCATGGTTCTCTCGAAAATGTTTCTTATTAAAAGTAAAATAATCATTCATTTCTATTGAAATTGATTTCATACAATCATTTATTTAGATGTTACATAGAGCTATACTTCTTCGTGAAGTTGATATATTATTTAAACTTCGAGTCTTTATTCGAGATTTAAAAACCGTACTTGAAAAAAGACCTATAATTGAACCGATTAGTGTTTACATAGGAAATATCATTGAACAATCAGAAATCAATCCAATCGCCGCATCTAAAACGAACGAAAATTTACTAACGTTTCATCAATTTTTATTTGCTTCAACGGATCAATCACAAGCAATTGCAAGAGCAAAAAAACTTCCACGTTCTAGTGAAGAGTTTTTGAATCTTCTCATTCGTATTGATTTCCCATCAGCAGCGAAATGTCTTACTCGACTTTCATCGTCAAACGAGGATAATGATGGAATCAATATATTTATTAACGCAGGTATTGCAACAAAAATTATTGCCATCGAAAAAGATTATCAAGAAAAAGGTTATATTCTAATTCATTTACAATACGTTTCATATGCAAATGAAATTAATATTAAAACAGAAATGCAAGTAGCACGTAATGGAATTGATAATTCTTCTCCGTTATTTCGATTAGGAAGATTATTATTGAAAATCAATCGACAATCATTTTCCGAGCAATTCTTTTCAAATCTTGTTAATGAAGACTTTCTTATTAATGATACTGAACGACAAAAGTGTCTATCACAATCTTTAGAATCATTAGGATTGATTCATTATCGAAAAGAAAATTTCAAACGTGCTAGTGAATTGCTTCTTCTTTGTTTAAAAGCTTATCATCGAATTTTACCAGTATATAGTTCATATTTATATGAAACTTATCGTGATCTTGGTGAATCATTTTATCGTATGGATGAATATCAATTAGGTATTGATTATTATCAACAAGCACTTGATACTCAAATTCGTTCAGATAATCCTAAATCACTTTATGCCGCTTACTGTTACTATAAATTAGGTGTGATCTATTTTAAACTAGAAAATGATGAAAATGCGATTCAAGCTTTGGAACGTGCCGAGAAAATTCTTAAACAATCCGATGAAACATATCGCCCAGAGTTGATTTCAGTCTATGAGACTTTAGGTGATAATTATAATCTCAAAGACAGGCACGATGATGCTATTATTTATTATAACAAAGTCATCGAAGTTTTACAATCTATTGAACCAAATGATTCCAAGAAACTTTGTGCAGTATATTTTGTTATCGGAAATCTTTATTCGAGAAAAGAAATATATCGCGATGCTATGATTTATTATACACATTCATACGATTATGCTAGAGAATTTTTACCAGAAAAACATTATACTTTTGTAATACTTCACAATAATATTGGTCGTGCGTATTATCAAGTAAAACAATATTTACCTGCATTGGATCATTATTCTCAAGGTCTTTTCTTAGCATCAGAAAGTTTACCCGGTGATAGTACTTTCATCAGTACGCTTTTATCGAATATAGCGTTGGTTCTTTCAGATATAGAAAGATTCGATGAAGCCATTGAATCAATGGAAAAATCTATTGAACAACTTCGAAAAACTCTTTCAGATAATGACGAAGAAGTGATTCAAAAACAAACATTACTGGATGCTATCAAACAAAAGAAGATTCTTTATGAAATTGTTGGCGAACCTTCTGAATATTTTTAACAAGGATTTGATTTATTTTTGGAGTTTTTTTGTTGAACTGTTTTTTATTTATATTCGAGATAGTTTATCGATTCTCAATAATTATAGTCAAGGAATAAAATAAGATTTCCATAATTATTACCTGTCTTTTAAATACCAATCTTGAGGGTGTGAGCTTTATGCTCATACTTCGGTGGTAGTGATGGGGTGTGGGTGTGGGTGTTAACTACAACAAATATAATACCCATACCCACACCCTATTTACGCATCCATTTATTAATTGTTCTCCGTCAAGCAGTAATTATTTTTCAATAAAAAGATATAGATGAAGAAGAAATATAATCGATAAAATAAAGTTATAATTTTTCCTATAAAGACATTTGAAGACATCAATAGTTGAATGAAGTAAGGAATTAACCTAAATTAATGGCACCTGTTGCTGCATACGCTTTTTGCCATGCTAATGCTGTAATATAATCTCGGACAGTTACTTTTCCAGAAATTTTACCATTATTTTTTTGAATAAGACGAAATTCATGAATAATTTGTTTTAAAACATTTTGTGTAAAAGTATTGTTTGACATTTTATTGTTTCGTATCTTTTGTTCCAGCTTTAAGTATTCTCTTAGTCGATCACGATGTTTAAATTTTGAAAATTCATTTGGATCATGTAAACAATGTATATGCCAAGCATTCCATAATGATGCAGTAGAATAACCTCGATGATCTAATGCAGTTGATTCATGTTGATGACCAAGACTTGGAAAATATAAATGATTTATTGCTATTTCAGCAGCATATAATGATGTTACACCACGCCACCAGAATGGCCATTCACCATTAGCAGGTAATTTCTCAAGACCTACATACACATATATTATATTAATTATTCAGTAGTTTTCCTTCAAGGTGAGTGTGGGTTTAGATAAAGACACACCCACCCTTGTATTAATATAAAATAAATAGTTCGACATAATATTTTACCTGAAACATTTGATCCGAATTCATTTTGAAGAAGATGTCTTCCGATTTTGATTGTTAAATTAGCTATAGCAATTGAATCTTTTGGATGAACCAACCATGTGGAACATAGATTATATATACCACCATGTTTATATCCTAATTTTCTTGCAATATTTCTTAATCGTTCTTTTGTAAAATTAGTACCATGACCTATTGCTCCGAATTGTTTGTTGTATAATTTAACTGGATGTTTTTTTAAGAGACCAAAGAGTAAACCTGGACTTAAAATAGCATCTTGATCAACTCGTAATATCCAATGATATTTTAAAATTGTTTGTTTATATTCTTTTGTTAATAGAAAAGCAATTGATGTCATATAGAGATAATCATTCCATTCTTCTACTATTTTAATAGATAATTCTTCATAGAAACATGTTGGCATTGTTTGAAATTGTTTATTATAAGAAAGAGGTAAACAAGATGATGGTAATTGAAAACAACTTAGTTGTTCACAAAATACAATTAAATCAATAAGAACTTGTTGAGATAAAGGCGAAAAATTCTGAATAAAACGCCATGAATCATAAAGTAAATGAAATTCAGCAATATGAGCTGTATCCTTAGCCAATGATAATACAACAGCTGTATGAATAATAGTATCATTTGTTTCAGTTTCGATCATTGAATAATCTATATCATTTTCAGTTGATGATTCATCAGGATAATAGAATATAATTAAAAAATATAATAAAGCTATCACAATCAATATAGCTATCAATCGAACTACCTTTTCAACTCTGAATATCATGAAGTATTTGTTTTTATCTAGAAAAAAAAGATCAATAAGTTTATTAGGAAAATTTAGAATGACTGTAAAGATTATTTGTTCAGTAATACACATATTTCGTTTATTAGATAATGATTCAGCAGTTGTAACTTCATACATAAACATTTATTCAAGAGCTCATTAAACACCAGAATTGGGTGGATATCACTAAACTTTTACCAACGATTTTTCCTTGACTTCGTTGGTATCTGATCCATTCCCATTATAAAACGTAAGCATTTCGTAATGCTTCTACACATCCCATGTGGTAATATAATATCCGAGTGGACTAAATCGAATCAAAACTGTTGCGATACCGCACAACTCATCTGTGAGCTTATTGCTTCTTCAGTTTCAGATTTTTGCTGCTGATCTCATTTTCACCCATGAAATTAATCAACATTATGAAGTCCCATTATTATGAACAGACTTATTTTTGATGTTCGGAATATGTGTCCTTCAAATAAAAGTTGTGTACACTGTGTTTTGATTCTGAATGAAGCTCTTTACAGTCCTGTCTTTTGCAAGATGAAAAAAAATGTTCTTTTTCCTTATAATACTAGAGGGTAAGCGTGAAGATTAAAAATCGACGCTACTTTACCGCTTTCTTTAATCAACTTCTTTTTTTTTGATAAAATCAAACAGAACAAAAAAATAAAGTTTGTTATGCTTCTCTGTCATGTTGGTAGCAGTGTATTAGCTACACACAGGTTACTTAACTACTGGATGCATCAGTGAAAATTCAGCAGTTACCTCAAAATACTCAAAAATAAAGAAACTTATTTCTGCAATAAAAATATGCTAGGCTTTACTTTCTTTAGTCTCCAAGAGCTGTTTTAATTTTAAAAAGACAAGATGGTTGTCATTTATCCTTATTCAATTGAACGAATAGGATTAATCGAACAGCAACACCGACTGACTGTTTAGCCAATATTTGCTCGGAACAAAACCTACCAATTTCTTAAGATCATCACGCAAAGTTTCATTTTATTTTTCTTATACGCAATACTATGTGTGCTATATCTCTGTTTATTTTAATCTATACCTAATCTTATTCTCGATGTTAGTAAAAATACAGTTTTCTTTATTTCGTATGTTACATTTTTTCCTTCTGTCGTATCCAAGTGATTTAAAGAAATATTTCAATGTGATTAGATAGTATTCTAATATTATATGATATTTTATTTGTTAAATATTCAAAAACCACACAAACATATATTTATTTCAAATTTAAATAGCCATTTTGAATAGTCTATCGTATGCTCATTTCTTACAAGGCGTATTCGTTTAAAATATAATATTAAGTTTTTCAAAAAACTTAGGATAGATGTTTGATGACAATAATGTAACAGATCTTGATAGAATTAAATTAATAAAATTGAATAATAATAGTATTTTATTAGTTATTGTAGAAATTAACTAAAGCTTTCAGCACTTCAAGTGCCATCATCAGTAGAACTGAATGTAGTAACGTGACATTATAATTACAATTGTGTATCACTGAACACCACAAGTAACAAATACACAAATAATAATACACGATGATCTTTTCAAGTTTATTTTATTAAGATCTGTTACATTATTGTCATCATTATCATTATAGTTATACAGACAAGATCATCGTTTCATTATTTTTTGTGTATTTATCATTTGTGATGTTCAGTGATACACAATTGTAATTATAATGTCACGTTACTACATTCAGTTCTACTGATGATGGCACTTGAAGTGCTGAAAGCTTTAGTTAATTTCTACAATAACTAATAAAATACTATTATTATTCAATTTTATTAATTTAGATGTTTGATGACAACAAGGTACTAAGAATAGTGTACTCGAAAGAGAACTTCTATTAAGGACGAGTTGAAAGTGAGGATGTGTGATAAATTTTTCTTCCATTCTCTCACAACTACGAAGATATCCATTCCGCGCACTTAAGGTGTGCCGCACTCACCAATTTGCACAGCAGGAAAGTGCGCACCTTTATGAATTCTTTACGCTGTTGACAAACATGACCTTATGTGATAAGATACAAAACGTCGTAGAATAACTAAACAACATGTTAAATTAAGCATAACAGAGACGTTCTCTCTTCGTCCATTTCATTGCATGTCTCTTTTATAAAATTTAATATACACACTATTTTGAAGAGAACTATTAGTTAAACAGGCTGTGAATAGTGAACTCCTGCGAATACAGTTATGCATAAAATAGTAAAAAATTGGGTGTGTAAATATGATTGTAAGAAATTAATCAACAAAAGTTTGAGAAATATTAAACTCATGAAAATTGATTTTACTATAATTCATCATTCGATAATTCTAAAAGTAACTTTTTCGGTCAATTATATGACATTTCTGTTAATGAAAGATATTTGATTTGAGGTATTATTTTTGCTTAAATTACGAAGTATTTTGCATAAAAATATAATTGTATCATAATATTCTTAAGATAGCATTGTCTACAAAGGTTTTATAACTTGTCGTCGATAGCTAAATATGATTGACAGCGCCCGAAGCGTCTTTTTGTAAAAAACATGAATTACATGTCGTTTCAAGGTTATATTTATTCATTCATTCATGTAAATGAGCAGTTAGATCTCATTATAAACAGATATTTCAAAGTTCCGTACTTTCCGTTTTGTTTATCTCATGTCTATTCTGAATGATAACAGTGCGTCAGCAAAGTGCGCCGCACTCAGATTATTTTTTACTATGAATCATTTACACAGTATCAAAAAAGTTACATATATATATATAGAGGAACATCTCTTTAAGAATATTCACATCAATCAACAAACGATTATCTTCACAAAAAGACATCCATATGTTATTTTCTTCTTACACTATCGTCGTTTTTACGTTTGTCTGTATCGTAGTTGGCAAATCAAATGAGAATTATTCGCCAGTTCCATTACGATTGGATCAAGCTATTGCACAAATTCAGCTTACACAAAAGTTTCCTTCTCAAAACCTAAATTTTAACTTCAATGAAAATCTATTCTCATCGAATGCATGGGCTATTAATGCCAATATTAACAATTCAAGTCAATGCAGTCAAGAGTTCGAAGCTCTTTTGAATGGAACTCTACAACAAGAAATGTGGGCTATGAAGTTCGTAGATGCATGGGGCAAACCTCTTCCATCAGGTGTTCTTACTGGAAATACGTATTGGGTAGGCAACTATGATGAATGTCTTAATCCACTTTATCAAGTTGCTGATAAATCATTCCTTCAACAACCTTTTGATTCTCAGTACTGTGAGTATTTTAAAACTTCGTTATTGACTAAATAAAATATATTTTATATTTAATCCCCTCTCCCCTCTCAGAAATGATTTCTCATCATCACCAATGAGTAGTCCTTGTGAGAAACGCTAGTGGTAAATACGTCAGCTTAATTTGCTTATCTTCAAGAAGAAGTTTAGAGATGGATCTTTTCATTGAAATCCAGAAAAATCATAATACAATGGTATATTTTTTTATTATATTTCTATAGACAGTTTTTGAGCACGTACATATGAAGGTAGCTAATACCATCTATCACACTGGTTTATGTATAAAATATTCTATTCAATGCAACTAGTAACACAGTTTGGCAAAATTGAATAGTTAAAAAATCACGGAAATTTCTTCAAAAGTCGCGTAATAGATTCAAACCCTATAAAGAAAAACAAGTTTTGCATATCTGCCTAAATAAAAAGTGACCGATATATAGTTTTTCGTCGGCATGGTAGTCAATTGAGCTTAACTAAGTATCGATCTCGTCGCTTTATGAATTTTATTTCTTTGATTTAGGTGCTTTCTCTCCGCAGTCGGGAGAAGGTGGATCACACGCAGTTAACTTAGTCATCGGTCTTTGTTTTCCAAAATCATGTTCGAAACAAGAAATCGCTATGATCGTCAACAAAGTACAACCACAGAGTAACTTTACTGATAAAAATTTTGTTTGTTCAACTGAACGACGGCCATTTTCTGCTGGACCTGTAATAACTGTGATAGTTTTAACACTTCTGTGCTCTCTTCTATTAGTGGGCACAGTCGTCGATCTTGTACTGGCTCATAATATTGACTGTGTCTCTTCAATTAGTGCACGTACATGCCATAAGAACCAAGTATTTGAGTTAGCATCATCATCATCAACAACTTCTCAATCGCATCTCTCTCTTACCAAACAAACGCCGATCAATGAAACAATTCACTCATCGCGTGTACCTTTTTTAGTGGAATTCTCAATTATACGTACTCTTCAAAAAATCTTCAGCGTACCTAAGACTGAAGACAAAGCTAATTATACTTTTCTGAATGGAATGCGAGTGTTAGCTCTCATTTGGATTATTCTTGGTCATTCACTTCTGTATGGACGTGCCTCTAGTAACAATACACTTGAAGTGCTTTCGTGGACGAAAAGTTTTGCTTTTGTATTTGTCACTAATTCTTCCTTCAGTGTGGACACATTTTTTACATTGAGTGGTTTTCTCACAGCCATCCTATTCATCAGACAAGTCGAGAAGAATACGTCGAAAGGTGAACCAGAATTTAGTGTGCACACCTTTATTATGTACTATCTACATCGTTACCTTCGACTCACTCCCGCATTTATGCTAGTTGTCTTGGTGAGCTTTAATCTTACACCATACTTTGGCCGTGGACCATTCTTTCCATCTATACACGGTTTTGAACCGAATGGTTGTTCACAATACTGGTGGACAAACATGCTCTATTTGAATAATTTGATCAAACCACAAGAAATGTGTTTAGGTGTTTCTTGGTATTTAGCTAATGATATGCAATTTCACTGGATTGCTCCTTTGGCTCTTGTTCCATTTGCATTGAAACGAAAACGGATTGCTTTTCTTGTAGTTAGCCTTTTCATTCTAATTAGTGTCATCAGTACAGCAGCCATTTTAATTGCTAATCCAAAGATGAGTGGTAGTGCGGGTGGTTTATCGGTAAGTCATTTTTATTCAATATTCATCAATTTTATTTCTTCCTTTGCTGAAGACCCCTGTATTTATTATGAATATTCTCTCTTCTTCAAAGCTGAAAGCTTACATTCAGTCGCATCATCTCATATTATAATCTCAATGAGCGTTCGGATCTATGGCAAGTGCCTAGTGCACACTTGACATCGAACAGAAGTCCAAAAATTATTTTATGTTCAGTTATATAGTGTTATTCAAGGAACTGCTGTAATTTATTTTTTTGAGATTTGGTAAACTCTTGAATATATCGTGAGAGCATACAATACTTTGATTGTATCAAAGAGCTTCATCCTACAGTAGTGTAGTTCAAGGACACATTATGAATACATTGCGTAATAATTAGTCGTATTTATCTAATGCATGTAGAACAGATAATTTTGTTTTTAAATATTTTATCATGACCCGTTTTTTTCCCTTTTCATAGGCTGATGTAAGTTTTTTTAATAAGATTTACATCACACCTTGGTGTCGAATCACAGCTTATGGTATTGGACTACTCACAGGATTTATTGTGACAAATACAGGTCGTACTTACCCTTTGCCTATGTTGGTAAAATTGACTATCAATATTCTGGCACTTATTATCGTCTTCATTTGCATAAGTATGCCGTATTGGGATGCAATCACACCCATGGGCTAAGCCAATCCGTGATAATTACATTTCAAGCAGTTAATCGCACTCTTTGGTCAGCAGTCATTGGATGGCTTATTTTTCTCTGTAGCACGGGTAATGCAAAACTTATTAACAAAATTCTTTCATGGCCTGTATTTATCCCACTTGCTCGTCTAAACTATTCAGCTTATCTTATACATACTATGGTCATCTATATTATGGTCTATAACCTCATCGAACCTATTCACTTTCAACCACATGTACTTTTTCAACAATTTATATCAAATACAGTTTTAAGTTATACGGCTGCTATCGCTGTTGTTCTTCTCTTCGAAGCTCCATTTTTTGCTATCGAGAAAAAATTGTTTAAACATTAAATAAAATTTTTATATATCCAAAACCTATATCTATTCGAAAATATGAGATAAGTGACTAATATTTTATTATTTTAAAAGGATAAACACCTAAAGAATTTACCATCTTGAAAGTGTGAATACTTGATGAACATAGCATTCACACTCACCCTAGAATAGGAGTACATTTTCCGAGAAAAATAAAAGGTCGAAAAAGTCATTTGAATACATATAATCCAATTCAATTTTGTGTACTAATTCCAAATAACACTTTTTCTGGTATCTTCTTTATTCGACAAAATGAAATAATCAATTCATCATTTCAGTATCAACTTTTCATATAAAATTGAATCAAGTCTTAAGGAAATTATTATTAGGCTAATGACAAAAAATAAGGTATTTTGTTGGTAATCTTTAACTTTTCAAAACTAATCAAAATGTTCGTCTAAACTTTTTCTTCACACTGATATAAAAGTCAATAGGGTTTATCGGGAAAAATGCCCATGAGCTGATTGCTAGTCTTATGTATCTCGTCCTTCGAGAAAAAGTAAACACATAAACACCGATACTTAATTCTTTTGAATAAACGTTGATAATAAAAATAACATACACATGTTTGCATTTTGAAATGTCTTTTTCCGAAGGCTCGAAGACAAATAATAAAATATTAATTCCTTTTAACTTTAACTATCGAACATATTAAATCAATATATTTTTCAAAGTCGATAAAATAATTTCTTTCACAAATTCTCTTTTAACAATGAACATCAAGACACTTTTATTTCTTTTTTCATACATAATTTTAACTAATTCGAATAGTAATTTCTATTCAATAAAGGTTAAAATTATAAAAGGATCTTATTTTCAACCACCTATTGATACACACCTTATTGGTACATTAATCAATATTCCATCGGTAAAAAAATTTGCTTTTATATGTGAACGTCATAATATTTGTCGTACAGCAGATTATAATATAACAACCAAAACCTGTCGTCTATTTGAAACAGTTACATCAGCAGGTGCATTTGTAGCTGATCTAACAACAAATATTCTTCCATTCAATTATTGTACAGATGATCAACAGATTGAACCTTATTATGTTTGTACTCGAACAAATACATTCACTATGCAACAGATATTCGATCAATTGGCTTTAGCTTCTAACATAATACTTCCATCAACTGATCGAGGTGCTTATGCAAATATGTATGGTGTTTATACAAGTAATTCAACTGGAGGTTTATCATTTTTTACTTATACTGGTATAAGAAATAATCTTATTCAACTTCAGGGTGAGATTTCTAATATTAATTCAGCAACTAATAATGGTCTTGGAATTGTTCAATATTTTAATAATTCATCCAGTATTTACAAAAATATTGGTACATCATACCAACCACAACTTGTTTCAATACTTAATATTTCATCATTAGTTTTACCTTATTCATGTTTGATAACATCACAGTATATATATATATATAACTTATTCAAGAAGTTATGTGTATATGACTATTCATGATTTATCAACAGGATCTTTGTTATTTTCTACACCAAGTATTAGTCTCATAAGTAATCGACCAGTTGTGAGTTATTGGAATGATGCAGTTATTGTTTTTGATCAATATATGGCTATGGAATATACTTTGAATGGTACCTATAAAGGAAATTTGCCTTATTTTAATGGTACAGCAATATTTGCTCGTCATTGTATTCAACATGATTATGCAGGACGACGACATATGTGCAATGGTAATGATTATGGATTATTTCCTGGTATATATACATTTTTAATGAATGGAACACAACTTGCTCATGGGCCAACATCATGTTATAGAGGTTTGCAAGTTTATATTACAAAAGACCAGGCAATACTTACCAACATTCTGATTACAGGTGCAGCAATCATGAACATTATTAACTTTTAATTAAATAAATTTGTATTTCAATAAATTAGTTTTGATGATTCAAAATAAAATCATATAAAATTTATTTATTGAAAATTTTACAGTGAGGGTGTAGGTTAGAATTTTGAGTATAGGATAGATATAGTATCTACATATCCACACTTTAAATGTTTTATTGTTTAGAAAATAAAAATAATTCATAGATTTTCTATTCGTTTAAATCGTGCATTTCTTTCAGTCATATATGATGATTGCAATAAATCTGTAATCAGTTTTTCTTGAGGATTTGATGATAATCTTTGTGTTGTTATAAGAACTGAATCATCACTGAAAATTAATAGTTTGTTTAATGAAGAAAACCATTGTAGATTTAAATTATGAATACTATCAATATCATAATCATATTTTGATACATGAATATCAATATCAATACGTTTTAATGATCCAGGATTTTTCTCAAGAATATCAGAAAATCTTTTGAAATTAAAACTTTTTCGTCCATGATAATCTTGATGAGCTTGATGCCAGAGAAATTCTAATCGATGAATATTAGGCATTGATTTTAATAAAATCTCAAGATCAGGATCAAGTTTTCGAAGTTTAACTTTTAAATGAGAAATATTATTATGTTTTATATCACACTGACGAATAATTTCCTTATTTGGTAATACAACAATTTCTAAATAATTTAAATTTGGTAAATACGCAAGAATATCAAGTAAATGATTAATTGAACAGGAACATAAATTTAAAGATCGAATAGTTAAACATAATTGCGATGGTTCCATTAAACTAAAATTCCTTGGATAAACACGTGGAATACAACATGTAGAAAGATACGGAAATGGATCTAAATTACATAGAATAGATTTAAATATTTTATCATTGATAGTTAAATTAGTTAAATATGGTAAATTATTCGGTGTAATTTCTAAACATTGATTAACACTTGGTAGAGGTAAATGAAGTGAACGTAAATTAACAAACGATCGAAGACTTATATCATAAGATAAAGTTGAGAAATGACAATCAATAGCAAGATAAATAATTTGACGAGCAAAATAAATCATACATGCTTGATCAACTTCATGTTCAACATCATTAATAATATGCATACATAAATGAGTATCATTTAAAATATTATTTATACGTTGATTGAGATTAACAAAACCACGATAGAGATCAATTGGTTTAATAAATGAAAATAATTCTAAAAAAAGTTCATCAGGAAAAAGTTCTAAGAATGATGTATCATTATTCATTTTCTCCGAGAGTAAAACTGAAGTTGAGATACGTCGGCGACAACAAAATGCTTTTTTACAGAACAAATGTGAAAGAAATGAGTATATATCACATGTGATAGATGGTGACACTACATTAATAAACATTTTAATGATGCACCTTTTTTTCTTTCTGTCGATGCAATGAAAATAAGAAAAAATGAATCGTTTCTCTTCTTATAAAATATACAAACATGACTCAGATTTCAAAACAATTTGAGTGGATGAATTTTTTCATACAAAAAATTAACGTTGTCATTAAATGTGTTATTATTAATCTGAATAATAGAAGTAATTAATAAAATAATGACTCATGATATGTCTTCCAAATTTTTTGTTAGTTTACTTTTTTTAAATCATTACAAAATAACTATTTATTTAGTTTTTATCAAGGAGAGGAAGTGGATATTCTTGTCATTCATCGTGAACACCCACACCCTATTTTTAATTTATTTGAAAACTTCGATGAACGCTAATCGCTTGTTGAAAAGACAATTTTGTTGTATTTTGAATGGAGTATAAACGTGCTTTTGCTATTCTTCGAGAGAATCAATCGGCAATGATTGAGTCATATGTTACGCTTCATCTGTTTCTCTCGGAAGAAGAAAGTCAGTTATATTACCTGTATGTGTAAATCATGATTTTCAATTTAACAAGATTTTATATCGTTTGAATGAATCATCTATTACGTTTTATGTATTTTACTCGGAAGAAGAAAGTCAACTATGTAAACTGGATGACGCTGAAGTTGTGTATGGAATAATACTTTCACACGAAGTCTGAGATCCACATGCACTCAATATAGGAAGGATGTCGTTTGATCGACTTTCCAACTTCAGAATGCCTATAACTTTGTTAAGTATGACCCAAACTCTCTTAAAGTTTTTCTATGAGATTCCATTTAACTTCATCATTTTGTGAAACCATACTTTAAGAATATGATCAAAACAAGCATCATGCTTATTTTGAGATAAACGACGTCTTTGATTTCTATATTTAAATATTCATTCAAGCGTTTCTATTTCGTTCTCACGAAATACACCATTTGTACTGCCGATCTCTTCAAAATAAATACATGAGCCAGTAAGCAAAATTTTACAGTACTAACAAAAACAAGTTATTAGTGAACAATCGTAAAGGTAAGTTCTACATCATAAGCTAATATACAACTTTTTCAAAATTTCTTTTTTTAAACAAGATGCAATTGATCTTACAAATCTTCATCGCATGTATTCTGTTAATTGGACAGATTTTTGGTGACAGCTGTAAAGAATCATGTACTGCAGCTAAATACATATCATCAACAGTTCTCGGTACAGCACCGTTCTGTAATGGACGTTGTGCTGAATGTCAAGCTGGTGGCGTCTGTTTATCGAATAAATGGTCAGAAGGAAAAGGTTGTTGGACAGGAAGTAAAGCATGTTGCTGTTGGGGAACATCAGGCTGAACAAACAATGGTATTTTTAACAAAAAAAGAAAAATCATGTGGACAATAACATTATCATTTTTTTTACTCTTTTAAACCAGCAGAAAAATCCATTTGTATATTCATAACATACTAAATAAATTATTTAATCATTACTCTTACAATAGATTTAACGCCAAGTACAGGAGTTCGCTTCATCCTCTTTATAATTAAGTCGTTGATGTGAAGTTAATTGTGATTTCTAAAATGCTTTGAGGGTGTGGATATGAGTAAAGAAGAAGCACACATATAGTCACACTCACCCGCACCCTCAAGATGGTAACCGAATTGAAGTAAATAACACAAGACAACCAAAGGACAATCTAATATCTTGAGAATGTGGGTTTATCATATCTATTTTACTCATACCCACACCGTTCTACAGCGTTCTTGTATTGATTTCATATTTTTATATAAATGTAATCCATGTTTTCATGAATGAATAAAATAACACATATCATCATAATCTATGAACAGAGATACTGAAGGATGAATCATAAGAGTACATACCTAAGAACAGAAGTAATCAAAGAAATGACAATATCAGTATCTTCAGTTTTATTCATCTTTGTATCATCGAAACGTTCATTCATAAAACAACTGATGTATGAAATCAATGTTGTTGTTGTTATTGTATTCATATACGACATATTTTTGCCAATGCTGTTTATGTGCGCTGTGTTATGATATTGACGTAATTTGACAATACTATAGCAGTATTGTAGTAAAACGTGAGAATCGATATTTTTCATCAAAAACATTTCGTTTTTTTTTTTTTATTTTCAATGTTTTCGTTAAAAAGTGTATCAAATGACATTTACCATTTCAGAGTTGTGGTCACAACCGTAAATGTGCAATTAAATTTAGATGTTTTCTACACTACGAAACAAATCAAAGAAAAGACATTGGTAATAAACATGAATTTGCTATTTTTGTTGTATTGCATGAACAGTAAAAATGCATTACTTATTTCTCTTCCTATGTTTCTCTATCACATGTTCATGTTAGGTATTGTCATATGAGGATGGTAATCAATTGTTTTTGTTGACTGAAAATAATTTTTCTTGTTTCTCTTTCTCTCTATATATACCTGTTCACATACTTTCACAAAACAGTCCTCATCCATACTACAGTTTTACTCCACACCATATTATTACTATTAATATGCCAGCCTGTGTTCGTTCACCATGTTGCAGTTGTTGTAGCTGTTCTGGCTGTAACTCATGCTGCGATCCATGTTGTGATGCTTGTTGTAGTCCTTGCTGCAGCCCTTGCTGTGATCCTTGTTGTGATCCATGCTGTGGTCGACGATGTTGTGTACGTACAACTGTTTGCTGTGCACCAACCGTCAAAGTTATCAAAAAGAAAACCGTCACCGTTCGCAGATCATGCGCCAAAGTTTGCTGTTGCTAACATTAACATTTTGTTCTTTTTCTATGAATTGATCTAATGTATAAATGTTAGAGAGGATTCTGACAGCATTCTTATCATTTTTTTTTCTTTTCTTCCCTTTCGTTGATATGTGTATATGTGTACGTAAGTGTATCTCTTTTCTTTTCTTTTCTTTTTTCTATTGTCCATATGACGATCATATTTTTTCATCCAGGTCTTTCCTTCCTGCCGTCCATGAGAATTATATTGAAATTCTCATCTTCTTTCTTTTTCTTATTTCACTCTACATATTCGTTTACTTCTTGTACAGTTAGAAAGAAGATGTATTACAACATCTTCTTTGTTTTTTGTCCACTTTGATGAGAAGTAAGAGGGAAGCACTTATATCACCCTCTTTCTTCTCCTTATTTTTTTTTGTTCATCTCTTTTTCTTTCTTGTATATTTTCTTGAATATCTTTTGTGTGTTTGCGTGTCTGAATAGGGAGGATGTAAATAACCAGTTCTTTTTAAATAAAATTAGTTAGCGAATAAGGAAAATGTTCTTTTCCTTATTCGACCAATTCAGTGACAAAAAACAGTCTTGTAACAATAATGAAGAAAATTTATTTGTTTGTTATTTTATGCATCTGGCTCCTTTAAGACCTAATACAACCAAACTTTATACGACATTACATTTCGACAAGGGAAGATGAAAACGGATCAGTGCGACCAAAGGGGTGGACGGGAAGAGTTTCGACTCCAAGTTTTGGAGCGTGGGGGTCGGAGTCGATCTTCTATTAACTGATATCCACCCTCCATATTTTCGACGTTATTAGGGATGACCTTATTAAAGATTATTCGAAATATTAACAAAGATAGTAGAAGAATTATTACAATTATATCGCAATGACTAGTATTGAGAAAGTCTTGTTTTTTTATTTATTCAATTATGACATCTTGAGGGTGGGTGTGGGTGTGGATGAAGATGTGTTTAGATAAACTCAAACCCACCCCATACACATATTTTATACATATGTTTGTTGTTATGTTATATATGATCTAATTAACATAAATTGGTTTGTCTATTCATTATTTCCTTAAGTTTATTTCTTTTTGGAGCTCATCTTTCCTCGTGCTTAACTTTCCAATGCCCATTAAATGCTACTTAACCAGAAATAAAATGACGAGTATTATATGAAAAGACTTGTTTAATTGTTTCTAATGATTGAAACGAAAAAAAAATAAGAGAGAAAGAAAGTAGTTTTTCATGAGTTAACTAAATTGAATAGTAACTCCGACGTGTTTCGGTACGATAGTCAGTCTTTGAATGCAACCACCTGTATTAAATTCAGGACCGCCATCACCGATTGTCACCTGTTGTAACATGCGAGCTAGAATTATTTTGAGTTCTAATCGAGCTAAATCTTGTCCAATACATTGACGATGACCA